ATTCATATGACCAACTTTCATAAAACTCATACTAAAAGAATCTAAGATACCTGCTGCCGATGTAACCTAAGTTTTTAATTCTCACAAACATCCCGCAATCAACATACGGACACGACTAAACAAAAATGACCGCTAGACGCACAAACATTATCACCTAAATGCGGCAAGAGCAAATAAAAATATGAACATATAGACACGCCAACATCCCACTAACATCTGGTATTATACACACAGACGAACATCGAAATGCCCACCAGAATCGGAACACACGCACACATTAATATCACAAGACAAATACACGTGAGGTCTGCCTCATCAATGAAAAACAAGCACAGAACAAAATTGCCGAAATTTTCTCTTCCATAACTCATTTCCAAAAGATTTCTAATGAAGCTGAACTGAAAGCGAAACATTAAATTTATAAACGTTTCTTATTTGTTCCTTATTCTATCAAACATTAATTATAATAATTGGCACAAGAAAGAGAATTTCAGAACTACGAAATTAGACAGATTCTCATGCACTTCTTTTGTCGATATGACAACCACGAAAATTTGTTCAGGTATGAAAATGTACTAAACTTAGTTTAGTACGAGTCGACTGTTGGAAGTATATTATTTGAGAAGACAAAAAAGAGAAAAGAATAATAATAAAAATCTTCACGATTTGAAAATGGCGGATATAATGTAAAGTTAATGTAGCCAGAAAAGTGAAGAGCATCAACAACAAAAAGTAAAATCGGCCGAAAATATATAAAAGAACGAACGCTAAAAACCTTAATATGCCCTTCCCAGTTTCAGATGTTCATTCTGGGCGATTCTATGACGTCTACAGGCAGACAAGTGATCGAAACTTAAGAGAACAATACTAGTCTTTATTTATTTTCCTTTTGTATCTGTTTCGTTCATAATAAATATCGAATTGAGTAAAAGAGAAGAGAAAAAGCCCAAACAAAACCAAGCATACGGACGAGATAAGACAGTGTCTCTTTTTCTCCCTTTTTCTTTCTCAGCTTAAAACTAGATAAGAACAAAACAGGTGATTATTTTCCACATTATACTGACCCACATCAAGTCGGCCATTTCACTTTAGAGTCTACCATACGAAAAAAAAAAAACAAATAAACAAAAAAAAAAACAAAAAAAACAAACAAAAAAACAACGGAAACCAAAAATGTGACAATTGTTTAAGAGATGGAAGAATCCAGGACAGAAAATGGACATATGTCAGTGTATGCATATATCTACACGAGCTGTTGAAAAGTTCTCAGCTCAACGAAATTCCTGAAAACTATCTTTTTAATTTAATTAGTTCTTAGCCGAGCCGAAATCTTTTAATAGTACGCACACACACACACATATAAACAAAAGGATAAATATAGTTAAACATACGAGCGCGTGTTCGTATATACATACAGATATACACACTTTACAGTGTAAGAAAAAGCAGTGCTCAATGTTAAATAACAGAGCTATATAATAAGAATATAATATATATAATAAGAAATATACCTAATATCTTACATTGATACTATGCATATATAAATATAAATATATATATATTTATATGAAGAAATATAGTCTTAAGGTGTGCTATATTTATGGGTTAAAGTGCTCAATATCAGAGATATAGCGTGTGTAAATATAAAAGTGAACATAGAAGTCAACACTTAGAGGCGACAGTCTGTTTCATGCTATGGTCTGACGATTGCATATAGCATGAAACAGACTGTCGCCTCTAAGTGTTGACTTATGTTCACTTTTATATATATATATATATATATACATATATATATATATATATATATATATATATATATAGTAAAGTTGCGTTTTGGTTCTTACAACATTTCACCATTCCTGGCAGGTCTAATATCACAGTGTGGAATACCGGCTTACAAAAGGGATGGAAAGAAAAAGACGCTAAATAAATTCGGTTAAAAAAAAAAAAATTCAAAAACTTCCAGCGCCGCATTGTTCATGCGCAGTAAACTTTTTCCACTTTGTCATAAAATTTCCCCAATAAAGTTTATTTATATATATATATATATATATATATATAGAGAGAGAGAGAGAGAGAGGGAGAATTTTTGCAAATATAAAGTTTAGCCCTTAGCTAATTGGTATTACTTTCAGTATCCTGACTCCAGAATTTCGTAGATGGACCCTCTATCAATCACTCTGTCCACTCGTCAGGGAGTATCAGCAATATATAACACCTCTTAATATGAGTTAAACTATGTAAATTAAAGTATGTCAGGGTGGACAGTGGTGTCTATAAAATGCTCAATAGATATCTTGAGCAATGATTATTATCAAAAACATAAAATGTACACACTATCAAAGACCGACTTCAAGTCTCGCGACCTTTCGTTCATCAAGGTAAGAAAAAATATTGCGAAACTTTAAATCAGTCCTTGATAAGTATTGTAAACTTGCTTTATATTTTTGATTATATATATATATATATATATATATATATATATGTGTGTGTGTGTGTATGTGTATGCATATGGATTTTATAAATAATTATTGAACTTTATTTTTTTAATCCGTAATAAACGTTATTTTTAATGCGGGTATCGTATTTGAATAGATGCATCGTTTAATTAAACATTTATTTGGTCTACCGGCCTGCTTACTCGAGAAAACTTCATTAAAATTATGCAAATTTTCTCGAGTGTGTGTGCTTTACCAAAATTGTGTTCTCCAAACGCCCGTTAGGTGGCGCTGTTTAAATTTATAAAGAGACAACTATTTCTTTCCTCTTGCTTTGTCTTGCTTTAAGATGTACCAGGACGTGGTGGTTGACGTCACTGCTGGGACCCGTTCGTCTGTCCGCTGAACTCTCACACATACGCCCGTATCACACACAATTATTAAAAGCCAAGTTTTTAATACCTTTTCCTTTTCAATCGTGTACATATTCTTTTATACATGTATAAATTGTTTGTTGAAAATCCAGGTTTTGTTTCTTGTATGTACCCGCCAAATATCATTTGTGGGACAAATGTTCCAGGAACCATTAAATACCTCCTCCTCCCACACACCTATATAATTGCGTATTTGGGCAGCAATCCCACTTTTATGCAAGTTACATTAAAGACCCCAAGTAAATGTGTGTCGGTGTGTGTTTTTATGTACCTGAAGTTATAGGAATGTTTTCTTTTTCAAACATGCTTAGCACATTGTGGCCGTGTTCATAGTTAATGTTAATTGCTGTTGGCGTCTTTTTATTATTATTATTATTGCTGACAGTGGTTTTTATACATTTTGTATCCAGAAAAGAAAACACTTGTACGAACACATGAAAAATTAAATAAAAAGCTTAATCGCAGTACCTTGTTAGCAATCTTTAACGAAATGTTATATATATGTGTGTGTGTATGTACGTGTATTTATCAGTGTCTATGTGTATGTAGAGTACATTCACATTTAATTGTGTGTATGTATAGGTGTTGGTTTCCCCGTTTCCTTTTTTCATAAAGGGCTGTAGAGATGTTCCTGTCTCGTCGCTTTTTTTTGTGTGTATATATATATATATATATATATCTAAATATGTCTGGGTGCTTATGTATTATAATCTGATTGTGTTTTTGTTGTTTTGCGCGTGAGTTTAAGACCAAATCCACACACTTTAGAATAAAAAATATATATACATGTATTGTCAAATGACCGGATATATTGTAGCGTCTTGTCGAACGTAATTTCAACGAAGAAATAAATTGAAAAACATGTATTTTTTCTTTTCTCAATAATTTTGTAGTTTTTAAACTTAATAGTGATTAAATTTGGATTTTAAAATTGGCAGTTTTTAATTTTAATATTAAATTTTATCATATAATTTTATAATTATTGGTTAGTATAAATTATTTTTAATATTACCCGTATTTTAAAGATCTGAATAGCTATTATAACATGATTTCGTTGTCAAGCTTTTGAATCTTTCTATATTTGGTTTTTGATTGGTTATTCTAGCTTTTGTAACAATGTTTCCCCCTAGTGTAGGATCGTTAATTAATTTGAAACTTTTAAAACCATTTATTTTATCTTCAACATCATCACTTGATATATAAAGTAAATTATAACCGATATGGAATTTTACGTTTTTTCTTGATTTATCATATTGCTCTGTAACTTACAGTAATCTCTCTTTGGATTAATGTCTTCCTTGGAATTATTTCTACCAATTATAAATTGGTATTATATATATATATATATATATATATATATATATATATATATATATATATATGTGTGTGTGTGTGTGTGTGTGTGTGGAGGAGAGAGAGATATAAGCACATTCATTTTAAATTCTTTTAAAAGAATAATCATTGCTAAGGGTCTTTTTTGTTTACATTTTCCCTACAACTTTGTCATTGCTCACATGTTTAAATCATGGAGCTCTCAGCATCCTTTTACCGCGGCGTAACAAATGCTATTATTTTGATTCCTATCTGATTCGTACATCTTTAACAGCAAATGACTATTAAAAAAACTGAATTATAGGAAAAATGCCATTAAAGGAACAGGAACCGGCTGACAGGTACTATACCATGATTCTCCTCACCCACACAGTGGTTTAACCTGGATTACGTTATCCGAACATATGGGCCAAGGAAAAAACTCTCCAGTTCCTGTGACCACTGTCATGAAGACGCCTCAACAGACACCACCACCTTTATTGCTATAAGGATGGTGCTTCCGTTAGTGTCTTTGGAATTAAGCCTCCTCCATTTTTTTCGTTTGTTATGTGTTCCATAACAAACGAAAAAAATGGAGGATGCTTAATGGCGAAAGGATGTTTTCCCAATTACTACAATCTTAACCTCTTCATGGTTAGGGCCAACCGTTATCTATCCTACATATCCTCACTATTTACATCTTTTTCTCCCTCCTTCATTTAATAACTCTCTACCTCGAGTGGCTCTTGGGTATTATATTGCGTGAAAAATCATATTAAAAAAGGACTGTTGAAAATAGTGTACAAGATATAAATGGCTAGGTAAATGATTGAAGGATTTGAGAAAAAGATAGCGATAGATAGAGAGAAAAATCAATGATTATTGCGACACAGCAAGCAAAAAAGAGAGATAACAAGCTAACTTGATAGATAGATCACACAGATATCCTTAAAGGCAACACGATCCGACCAAAGTACGTGTCACGTCCTGTTCCAGGGAAGGGTTTAGGTTACACGTTACCTCCCATGGTCGAGATAATATGTGACTTGTTATGCGGACACCAGCTGCGAGAGTGGGAGGGAGAAAAAGAGGTGAAGGTGACGGGAAAAGCGGCCAGGATACTAAGCTCGTTCACCTACACCACCAGTTCCACCATTACCAATGAAGGTATCTATCTGCTGACAACCTTTTGACCTTGCCGGATAATATGGACTTTAGACTGGGACAGGCTTGTTCGAAATTCGAATGGAAATGAGTGGGAGAGAAGTAGAGAGAAAATAAGGACAAAGCTGAAAGATATAAGGAGAAAAAGAGAAGAGAATTAAAAAAAAGAAAGAAAAAAGGAGTGGTAACCCCACCCCAACCCTAAAACGAAATGGATAGTGTCGGTTTTCCATTTCCCTCACATATGAATAAATACCTAAGTCCTTAGTATAATGATAAAAAAAAGAAGCATTTTATATAAATATTTATTTTTCAACGCTATATCTTTCCTTGTCAATGCACTTAGTTCAGTGGTGAATATTAATCGCATCGATCGAGTAGTACCGAATAACATACAAGGAAAACTTCAAACCAATATTCAGCAATTTATGTCAAAATATTAAGAGTATATAAGTACTTCCAAAGATTCGCTAAAAAAATGAGAATATGCTGGAAAAAATGTCCAAACTTAACATAAACGAAGTTTAATCGTCATTAAAGGATATTTTGAATATTAAATTTTATTTTTTGATCCATTTGTGAACCTTCGGAATTTTGGTTAGATATTTTGCTTTCTTTACGTCAGCGGCTGACTATAAATTAGTATTGTAAATTTTAGTGCCTTTCGCGATGCAAAAGACATTCATTTGCAAAAAACTCAGACAATTGTCGGATTTTAATTAAATTTTCAGGATTTATTCAGAAATGAATTACATTATTTTTTAAATGTTTCTTTGTAAAACTATTTTTTCGATCAATAATGAATTTTTATATGAATTGTTTTCATGTTTTTAAATTTTAATTAAACTTTTAAATTTATAAACTTTTAAATCTTTTAACATTCTGTATTAATTTTTAGCGATCAAGTGATATTGCTATTAAATTAAGACTGTATTTATTCATCAGAAATAGAAAAGCTCACTGCATTTCAACAACGCCCAGTATTTCAAAAAGAATTTTGAATTTGTTTTATGTGTGTATAAACGCGTTGATTTTTAGAAACACGGATGTTCAAACGCGAATATCAAAAAATAAGTGCAATAACTATGATAAAGTTAAAATTTATTAGTAATTTTCTAACATTTCACCAACATGCGTATTCTGAAGTTAGCCTATAAAGCCAAAGTACATAAAAATTCAATAAAATATTAAATTGTTTAGAATATTTTCTTAAATTTTAAATATTAGTTGGTAGTTAGAAAAATTATGTAAAATAACATAGAATTCACAAACCTATGTCTATAGAGATAGTTTTTGACATAATTACACTCACCTTCGTGTTAAAATGCTTTTTTGTGATATTTTAACCTAAATGTAAGTTATATTTGTTTCCACTTAGATTAATTAAACTTTAAATAAACTAATCTCCCTCAAATAAAATTTCAGAAAATTACATTTTATTCTTGAAAGATTTTTAATAAAGAGAATTACATTGCGTTGACAGATTTATCAATATAGATTTTAGCGTTTTTACTGATAAAAACATTACTTTTAATTTGAATTCAGTTTGAAATGCAACAACATATTGGAAATATTAAAGTCAATAGATTGAAATTAAAGTTAAAAATAAAAGCTTCAAGAAAGATCTTTCACTTTAAAAATATATTTTATACCTTAAATATCTCTTTATATCGGAGGTACAGGATCATTATATATATATATATATATATATATATATATATATATATAGTTTAAAATTTGTAATATTTATAGGGGAAGAGTGCACAATATCAGAAATAGAGCGTTTATAGATATAGACGGTGTGAACACAGGTATCAACATTGCATGGTGGCAACCAGTTTCATTCTTCAATACGATCTGCAGACCAAGGATGTGAAACTGGCGGCATGCAGTGCCGATTCTTATGTGTGCGCGCGCACACACACACACACAATATATATATATGAAATCTACTTTTAAGATGTGCTATATTTACGAGTTAAAATGCTCACTATCAGGGATAGTGAGTATGTAAATATAAATGTGGATACTGAGGTCAAAACCCAGTGGCGACAGTCTGTTTTATGCTTAAACGCAATTTTCAGCGTTTAAGCATGAAACATGACGAACTGGGAAATGTTTCGGTGACGCGTTTCATCCGTTAGGACTTCATCATCTTCGTTGACGTTGTTTTCATTACACACGCGCATGAACGAGAGACGCTGGGAGTTTCAAAAGTTTTGCTAGAATTTTTTTTTTAGTAGCATTTTTTTTTTATCTCAAAACTTTGGTCAGTTTCGTTACAGCGAACAACCAATGCATTTTGTGTGTTGTTTTTAAAACGTTTCTTTTGTGTTCATATTGTCTTTTATTTAAATTGCTTGAAACGTAACGAAACTTTTTGACATAAAAAAATGCTACTCTAATTAAAAGAGAAAATAATTCAGTAAGACGAAAATGTATAGAAAGTGCTTTAATCGCTAGATCATCCACAGTAAATTTACGTTTCGCCATTCATGGCAGATCTTCTGTTACCACAATGTGTGATATTTAATAATAAAGAGGATGAAAAGGAAAAGAATATAGATGAATTTAGCTAGAATGAAAAAAAAAAATCTTTAAAAACTGTGCATTTGTAGTGACAACAACGTGAACAAACCCAATCTGATAAAGTCCTAACGGATGAAATGAGTCACAAAAACTTTTTTCTCATTTGCCATTCATCTTTTCTTTAAAAATTCTTCTTGACATAAAAATTCAAATTTATATATCGTTATCCCAATATCTCTCTACTTTTATCATTTACACCTCTTTATCTATATATTTTTAATCTTTTTTAAGGTTTGTTTATAATATAACTTTGTATGATTTTTTTAAAAAATATAACTTGATTTAACTTATCTTTAAAGTTAAAATTCTTTTCCTAATGTATATTTTATCATATTATATTTTTATTTTAAAATATATTTTTTATTCTTTAATATAACTTTTTATTTATCATAATATTTTAAAAGTAATTTCTTTCTTAAATTTTATATAAATTATCTAAATATGACTTATTTTTAATTTTTTAAATATATCTTATTTTATGTATAATCTTTCTTTGGAAGAGTATCTTTAAGTAAGAGCCTTATATATATATATATATATATATATATATATATATATATATATATATATATTATAAAAACTCTTTTTGATCCTCTTTTAGTTTAAAATTGACACTTCATTCTTTATATAAACTAAAATTTAATGTCATAAGGTTAATATACGGGTTTAATTTTATAAACCTCTTCCTTTTAAGGTTAATACCTTCCATAATACCCTGACCACTGACTTCTGCATTTCGTCTGAAATGGATAAATTCTGTATTAATTTTTCGGCGGCTGTAATAGTTAAATTTCTAATTCCGACACGAACTGAGTCTATACACGGGGTTGAATAAGACTGACGAAGTTTTCATCGGTTGAAATAGATCTATCTTTCATATGAGGTAATTTTGGATTTTGTTGTGTAATACTATTATATATATATATATATATATATATATATATGAATGAGAGAGAAATTGGTAGATAGTGTGAGAGAGAGCAGCTATGAATCAATATAGTAAAGAATAGATGTTATAACTGAAAATTCTCTTGCATTACACTTTGGCTGTTAACTGATGTTCACAACTCTATCCCTTGACGACAAGACTAGACTTGCTGCAGGGAGAGATGGACTCATGCCTTTTGCAAGGGAGTAAATGAGAATACATGGGGTGTTTGCTCTTGTGGGTTACAGTATAGCGATACAGTGACATGCAAGTGTAAACGTCCCATGCCCTTCCTCGTCGCTGAAAATGAAACATTTTCACACTTTCAGTGCCAGATGTCGGTGTTCGAGCTGAGAAGAAAATCATGTACTCTGTCGACACAAACATGTCAATGCGATCTCGGTTATTGAATGCAACTGAACTCTCTGAAACCTTCATGGGCAGATTACATTTGCAAAACTTAAAGTCTGGAAGTTTTAAACTTTATTCATCTGTTTACTGCACACACACACACATATATATATATATATATATATATATATATATATATATATATATATATATATATATATATAGGGAGAGGTGGAGGAGGTACAGTGGAGTAATGAATGGCGGCTCAGATTGCGGAATGTAGTCGGATCAATTGCATTGACTTACGTGCTAATACCATTGGGAAAATTATGAATCCTCTTCTCCTCCTATGGGTAAATAGCAGGACAGACTGGGTTTTAGAACCTTGGATGGCAACTAGTCTAGGAGAAGGAGGACAGCTCTGAATTCAAAACCTGCGGAGAGTCGTTTGGGGACCTTGTGGCACGTTGTGCACTAGATCTCTGTATTCGGCTGTTCAAAAAGTGTGGTTGGTTCTGCACAAAGCCTTCACCACTATCAAATCATATGTGCTGGTGACTGGGCTGTTAGTTCCTGAGAACCGAATTGCTTGACCCTCATACGTCGAGAAAACGACGGGAGATACATACGTTTATATATATATATATATATATATATATATATATATATATATATATATATTGGTATATACGGAATGAATTCAATAAACAACCATTACTATTCTTAAAACAACCATTAGTATTCTTAAAATAGTAGAGCAAATATAGATATATATATATATATATATATATATATATATGCGTGTAAAAGTCATGTTAGAAAAGGATGCAAACATTATCTTAAAAAACGCTTGTGTTGAATACGGTATAAATCTCGAATTGATATTTTAAAGCGTTGCAAGAATGCCTGTGTACGCGTGATTCTTTTGTCTTTTCAAGCCAGTAATTTTTAAAGAACATCCATTATTTCAAAGTGAATAATGTAGAATGGAGAAGAGATACTTCGGCTGAAAAGTCAAAATGACTTTCCAGCCGAAGTATCCATATATCACTCAGCGTCTTGACATTGGCAATAGGTCACTGAAATCAAATCTCACATCACCGAGTTCAACCTGTGACCCATGAGATTATTAGGGTACCAAGCTGAGTCATTGCTCTGAATGCCATTTCCCGGGGCACTTGTTGGCGCTCCTCTTCAAGTGCCATGCAACAGGATATTCTGGGTTCACTTGACCTGGCCTATTCTAGGAAAAGACAA